AACCTAATACTGCTTCATGATTCTAAATACGTCCTGCGAGTTTCAATTCCGTCCTAACGCATTGAAACGCCATTAGATTTTCTTCGTCCTACGGATAAACGTAGAAAATGGAAATTCGCAAGGAGCGCTTCTTTTATTTTGAGAACAATGAGCGTAAATATTCATACAATGCGCTCTAATAGGATTTATGTTATAGCTAATGATCAAACGCATCAGAATAAACCTATTATTGATTTGAGCACGGTGAAGCATTGACATTATTGATCGTTTCTGATTGATGATTGATAGAAAATGGGCGGAAATGGGCGATTACGACAAAACTGCGCTCTATCCTATGACTGCAATACTGAAACTACACCTAACGATCACCTACGGCTGAATATATCTTAATTATTCATCAATCGATTAATCAAAGAGAAATTCTGATGAGAACTGCAACGAAACATGGATAATAATTCCAATGGAATCTAATAGCTAAAATTGCATTTAAACGGCGCTCATTTATAATTTGTTTATCTGGTACCATTACATAGGTGACAATGACACTACGTACCTGTGTAGGGGTATCAGTTAAACAAATTTAAGTGAGCTAAACGGCTTGCAATTTTAGCTTTTCAACCTAACGGGGTTCTACAGTATTCGAATTTCAATTATGCGACATCGTTTAGATTTAACAGAAGTCACGAGAAAATGATTTTAATGTGGGTGCTTAAAAAATAGGTTACGACTTTAAAGAGCCAAAACTTCCCGATGTAAAATGCGCTAACAATTTCCTCCAACTGAAGATTTAAGAATGTCATACCTAGTTCAAACGGCAGAGTTATAACATGTTATAATATTTATCGACAAGAAAATTTTTATCATGATAGGCTATATCTATACTGCTCATAATCGCATATCAGTCCCATATGGATAGGAAATCAAGCAAAGATGGGACTGATATGCGATTATGGGTAGTATATCTATATATATAAAAATGAATTTCTGTCTGTCTGTCTGACCCTTATAGACTCGGAAACTACTGAACCGATTGGCGTGAAAATTTGTATACAGGGGTTTTTGGGGCCGTGGAAGGTTCTTATGATGGTTCGAGACCCCTCCCCCTTCTGTAAGGGGGGGCTCCCAAACAAATGAAACAGAAATTTCTGCATAACTAATCAAGCAAATGGAACCAAATTAGGCATGTGGGGGCGAGTGGGGGGGTATAAGGAAATAATCATAGGGGGTAGCCCCTTAGATAATAGGGGGGGGGGGGGGCTACGTACAATATAGCATGCTTTTTTTTTTAAATCGGCGCATAAACTCAAGCTAATATTGAATCCCGAGCAAGACCGGGCACACTCAGCTAGTATCTATATAAAAAATGAATTTCTGTCTGTCTGTCTGTCTGACCCTTATAGACTTGGAAACTACTGAACCGATCGGCGTGAAAATTTGTATGCAGGAGTTTTTGGGGCACGAAAAGGTTCTTATGATGGTTCGAGACCCCTCCCCTCTCTGTACTAATCAAGCAAATGGAACCAAATTTGGCATGTTGAGGTGATAGGGGGTAGCCTCTTAGATAAGAAGAGGGGGGGGGGAATGCTTCTTTTTTTTTAATTGGCGCATAAACTCAAGCTAATATTGAATCCCGAGCAAGGCCGGGCACACTCAGCTAGTATGTTATAACTTTTGATGAAGAAAAATAGGGTGTACATAAATGTTGATTAATCCGCAACTTCATAAGGCATGCATCATTATCTGTTTTTTTAATTTAAAAAAAAAAAGCTTGGATTTATTCATCTATAGTGAGATCCAACCCTTCTTATGAATTTAAATTCCAGAATCCTTAAATCAATAGTGAAGAATTTGATTTGATATGTTACATGATTTACTTTTACTCACGTCATATTCTGACCACTACTCCGAGGGCACCAGATGTAACCACCTTGTTCAAGAATTCTCATCATTTTATGGATAACATGATGGGTACAATCATACATCCGCGTCTGGCCCATCCTCGGGGCACCCGTGGTCTGGCCAATGTGGTATGTCATGCTAAATTTCTTACCATATTCTACCTACTACTCAGGAGACCCCGTATAATGTCCGAGTGTGACCAACACAACCAATCGTGGATCCTTCTTCTTTCTTCTTCCTCGCATTTCCACACGCAGAAAAATGGATTTTTGTTTCAGGGCCTAATGTATTTTGTTATTGATTCAAACATATAGTTCCACTATTTCAACAAAACATATTTTAGAATCAACAAAATGGTTTTTAGAATCAACAAACAGATTTTTGACTCTACAACCGGTTTGTTGATTCAAAAATATTTTTCTTTGAATAAACCGAATAATATATTTGAATCAATACCAAACATATATTAGGCCCTGAGCCAAAAATATATCAATTTGAATTTAAAAATCATTTCTCTGCGTGCAGCTTATTGCTTATCGCATATTAGCTTATTGCGTGCTCTCAACTTAGTGTTCTAGATGCACTTCCACGGTTATTAATTGAGAGCTTTCGATGCCTGTACCATTTTTGCATATGTATAATTGTGTGGCAAGTACAACCATAGTCTATGCCCAGGGAAATCGAGAAATTTTGTTTTGGCTCACATCACATTCTGGATATTTCGGAGGTACTCAAGCATTTTCAGCTGTAACCAGTATGATACTCAATTTGATCACCGATGATTTTGATACCTATCTTGCAATTCAATTGATCTTCATCTTGAATTCTTATGTAACTGGGGGGGGGTAAATAGAAACTTCTGCGGGTGCACTCTGGAAAATGCACGTGAGTTTTGGTGCATGCTTGTAAATTTAAGAATTATAGCCATGTAGTACCTCAAGAGAACTTATTTTTGAGATCCTACGGAAGCTATGTTAAATATGTTTGCGGTAGTGTATACGGAATGATTTACGAATGATTAAAGCGAAAAATGTGCCAAAAAGCAATTTATTCACAAAAGCCCTGCGTCAAGAAAATGAGCTGATTATTAGCAAAGACAACCCCATTTTTTCACAGGGAGCGAACATCTGAGAACATTGCGAACAAGTGGAACAATCTACTGGACATGTCCGGATACAGCAAATATGATCCAGGACATACAATGATTTTGATTATTTTGATTGTCATGTGAATTGACGTGTCACATGATGAGTATTGGCCCAAGTAAGAAAATTACCACTTCCTCGAGGGCACCAGAAGAAGATTACCACTTCATCACAGGGCACATGTTCAAGTGTGGCCACATCCTTAAGAGCTTCCAGAATTGAGTGAGACTTGGATGCCTTTCCTGGGACATGTTTTGATGTACTCGATCAGACTACCATTCAACTTGTTGTGGAGTTGTTAATGTTTCTAGGTGTCACATGGTTTTGGCCAGCCCGGGAGCTGCAGGAACAACAGGAACAACTCTCTTCCAATTGCTAATCATTCTCGCAAGTACTCGGCTTGGATTTATAATTCGTTTTAATAATCTCTTATAATAATCCTCAAAATTATCTTACACTAATAAAATTCCACACATTTTTATTGACGAATTTCCATGTGAAATTCCACATGATTTTCATGTGGCTACACATAAACAGAATCCACCCAGAAGCACACATGAAATTTATGAGTCAAATGAATAGTATGTGTGGTTGCACATGGCTTTTATGTGTACACATATTAAGTATGTGTCCGACACATAAATATAATTTTTTTTTCCTTGATCTGGTTTCCCTTCCTGAGCACCAATGCTACCGACGCCAGGAAGGCAGCTCCCACACCTGGATCCTACTTATCGACCCATCAACTCATGAACCCGGGACCAACGGCTTTACTTCCCTTCCGAAGGAAGGCGTGATCAGAGATGTTATGCCTCAGAACCTCCCGGCGGCGCCGACTGGGATTGAACCCAGGCCTGCTGGGGTGAGAGGTAATCACGCTTACCACTACACCACCGGCACCGCTAATAAATATAATTTGTTCATCACAATTCAAAGGTTCATGTGTGGGACACATAAAAACAATCTCTGAAATTTTATCAGTGTAGAATTCTGTTCCTAATTATCTTGAAACTGTTCTCAGAATTTTCCTGTACCTTCCCTAAGTATTCTTCCAAAAATCCCTTGAAATTCTCCACAAAACTTCGTCTGATTGCTTCTAGAAATTTATTGATATATTCTAAAAAATTCTAAGCTAATATCTCAAAAATCTCTTGAAATTGTCCACAAAATTATGGGATTATCATCTGAATTTTTTTAGGAGTTTCAATATTATTCTGCTCGAAGTTCCGTTGTTTTTTTTTTAAATCTGATTTTTCTCTCAAAATGATGTTGGAATTCTCCTCACAATCCCCATAAAAAATTTTTTTTTCAACTTTATTAAAGTGATTTTCAGCCGATGATGGGTTCATGGCCACTAAATAATCCCCATAGAACTCTACGCAGAAGTTCTGAGTTATGACTATTTTGGAATTCAACTCATACCTAGGAAACTCTGACGTGATTTCCCTGCAGTAAAAAAATAATCATCTCCATATAATTCCTTTGGATCTATCTTATAACAATTCTCTTGGAGGGGTTAACATGCATGCACGCCAAAGTCACGAGTTCAAATCTCATCCACGGACAAAGCACGAATTACCCAATCTTTAGTTGAAAGTCTCTTAAATGAAGATAACCGATCAACCAACATCGTTGAATCTATGAAATTGTAATGCGAATGACAGAATTTCCATGCAGTGGAACTGCACCAGCTGGTTTGGCAGCACTGGCAAATCGAGCATTCAGAACGATTTGGCTAGCATTTTTCTCTCGGTAGGGTAGAAGAGGATGAAAAATCAATTTTTTGCACTTTCAACCAGGGCACCTCAAGCATCAAAATTTCCTGAAAATCAGTTTTACAGCTAAAACCCATTAACAATGCTAATACACGATTGCAGAAATTTAGTAGCAATTTTATGAGTGACCCACGGACAAAATATCCTTCAACAAACAAACAAAAGTTAGCAATTTACTTACAACTCCTTAATCAACATTTTCGCTGGCCAGTAGACTTAGCTGCCAAACCGGAACTGGAACACCGCAAGCAGCAATGAGTCACCGAAACTGATTTGTTTCCTCCGAGGTCGACCCACTTGCCAACGATTCGGATCTTTCACAAACGACCCAGCGCACTATTATCAGCAGGAAAGGATTACACAAGGCTTCTCTCTTCTCTGCCCAATCAATGCACCAGTGGACACACGCACGCACACAGGATTCCTCCTTCTTTCTGGTTAGTAGTGCTACTTTGTCGCACTATCGCAATATTAAATTAACGCCACCCGCCACGACAAAATTGCCACGAATTGAAGCAATCGGGGCTATTTATTTTTCCTGTTTGGCAAAAGGTCACCAAAAATTGCACATGGGCGTCGCGCGGCTTGACGAGATAGAGCAAACGCTGGAAAATTTGAAGGAGAAATTTTCTTGACCCGCCGCGACGACACACGGAACTGCTGACTGACCCGACACAGAACGAAGGACGACGTCGAGATTTTTGTGAAGTTGGCTGGCTTGGCTGCTGAGTAATCTCCTCTACACGGAACGAAGCAAAAATTGCTGCTACTGAAGGATGGATGACTTTTTTTGCTTTTTCCCGTGGAAAGAACACACGACGGCACGGCACAACGATCGCTAACCACACCAGGAACTACCGGATAGAACCGAACGTCTCGAAGAACTGAAAATGATTCGCTCAACATCGACGGATCAGTTTCGCGGATCTTTAAACAGGTCACTCACACGCACTCTACTACCAAGGCACATCGATGACCGAGGAAAAAAGTGAGAAAATGAGTGCAGTTTTTGATTGTGTTTGTTTCCGTTTGATGAGGTGAGCGACTGACTGACAGATTATGACTGATTACGACAACCGGGGGGTATATTGAGTTCGGGAAATTTCGGCTATTACGCTTTTTTGAGGCTACTCAGTGACTGGGTAGATAGCACATTTTTGCATGCTGTATATGGAGTTGTCAAAGAATGTGTAAACTGGTTTTCCTCTGATGAGTGGAATCTGCCAGAAACTGGGTACGTTCAAGGCGCACTTTGAAGACTTTTGCGCAGTGAATCTAAAATTAGTGAAAATTGAGCAGCTACGTTATGTCCTGGATGGCGAAAGCTATCAGCAGCTAGTTGGTGGCCCGCATAAACGCGAACCATAAATTGACCTTACCGAAAATGGTTAAAAATTGTTTATAATCCCTGCTAAACTTTAACTGAAATGGTTATGGAACTTTACATGAACGTTTGTGTGATAAAGTTTTAACCTTATGTATTATGTTGTTTTAGAAGTGAACCCTACAAACAATGGGTTGTTAAGAACCATTACCATTCAAAATTCTTGTTTTCTCCATAGATTTTCGGAAAGAATCTATATTAGAACCTTTTTACTTATGGTTTGAGAATTTTAATGGTAATGGTTACGGTAGTCAGTAAGGTCCATGGATGGTTTTGTATTGTCGGTCAACGTTACGTGGAGTATATCGCGAATAGGTGGCATGTAAATTAATGATTACCAATTCACGATATATTCCACGTAAAGTTGACCGAAAACATTATTTGTTCCAAATTAAAAATAAATTACATTTAAATTTTACCTAGGTGCTCCATCTACTACAGTAACTTACCAGCCTTAATTGTTATGATATACTTTGTATCTCAAAACTGATCGTACACTCTAGCGGACATTTTTTTTTTATACATGGTGAATAGACATACTTTTTCGCGGCTGGTGGTTGAACCGAGGGTTGAACAGATGTTTATTGATTCATTCCTATAGTTTTGATGTTTATTGGAAGAGCCTGTATGAAGATAGATTTATTTTAGTAAAACGCTCGATTTTCAACTTTTTACCATGTGGACGAATTTTAGTAAAATTAGTGGCATATGAATGATCCTTACTGCGACTAAAAATGAGCAAAATTTCAGGAAGTTATGATCATTTTATTTCAAGAAAATAAGGTTTTTCGACGGGTTCTCCTTAAATTACTTTAACTTTTTGTAAAATCAACCAAATTTGCCTAATACTGAGACAATAATTGATAAATGTATGCTGAGTCAGCTGCCAAAAATTCAGAGATGTGTCTTTTAAACTTGTCATTTTGCCCCGTAGCGTGGGCAGATCACCTTTTCGGGGTACGTTACGGGATCTAAGATCTACCACCGATTCCTAGTTCTGACTACTTCAAACTAGGGGAACAGGATTTTTCAGTAATCAAAAAAACACATCTTAGTCCTTGTTAATTTTTATGCCTTGTTGATAGTGACAAGACTCGACTTTGTTCACCGAGGATGATTTTGAAGGAAAAAATGAGTTAGTTAGTCTTCATCTATGTGATTCCTAATCTTCCATTTGTTGTTCCCTAGTTTGAAATGGTTAAGGCTAAGGTTCTGATGCATGATCATTATCAGTGTCATTGCTTAATTTTGTCGTTAAAGATTCCAATTTTGACTGACAAAGGGGCCTTTGGAGGGTGCTCTAACTCTTCGAAGGGTATAAATAGCGGGACCTTTTAATTAGAATCGATTCCTTGCGATGAAGGCAAGAATGACAACTGTATCAAAACCTCAATAGTGATCCCTAATAAACGGGTACCATACACTAACAACGTCATAGATGGTACGACCATACCACATAAAGTTGAGATGATATCCCGAATTGGTGGTTAGGCTCCTCTAATGGTTATTGTTTATGCGGGATGGAGTAATACGACATGCACTAAACTAAGGACACGGGACTTTGACCTATATCCTTAAGATGTGTTCGCGCGTAAAACTGACTTTTCGGACACAACACTTAAATTCGCATTTACAACACAGAACACAGTATTTTAATAAGAATATAAAACACTTTATTCCTAACGCGAACACTACAACGAAAATTTATTGCGGATAATCAAACGCGCTCTGACAATGTGTAAAGCGCAACGGTTTATTTTACTCTAATCTCCTACAGCTGATTCTGTTTATGGTTGACCATTTGATCTATCGGGAGTCGATCGGAGAAAAAAGACTATTCGCACACGGTCACTCCATCTGTGCGATAGTGAGAACGTAAGGGACTGATAACGTGTATGCATTCTAGTGGAACCAATATAGCCCACTGATAATGAGGAACCTATTTGGTCGCTCAACGTTCATTCGATACCTAACGGTCTATCTTGCTTCAACAATTATATCTTAGCTCGTCCCAGGTGACACCTTCAAGTGACTAAAATCGAAGACATCATATCAAGCAGACTGGCAACTTTTCCATTTTCTCATACGATCGCTATGAGACAGGAACAATTGTCTGCTCAAAAGTAAACGCTTCGAACGAATTTGATAGCAAATATTACAACCTCAGAAGAAAGGTTTGTGTATTTGCTCATATTTCTATGCGCTGCTTCCACCTTCACCCAAGTGCAGTGCTACGCAGAAAAAAAGTTGTTGAATATTACATCCAAACTGCTGCAACCAGGTCAATCCATCGGTTGTGTAATATAACGTTGTACGATGTACATCGATTTTGCAAACAAAATTACATCCATTGATGTAATATTGTAACTGCTTTTTGCTATTACATAATTATTTTATACATCAGCTTGAATTACATTGATCGATATTACATTTTTTTTTGCTGTGTATTGTATATGTCGCTTGGATTCCGACAACTATCATGGTAGCTTTTCTCAATAGAATTTCTTTCCTCGAACAAAGTTTCTATTCAGCGGCGCCGGTGGTGTAGTGGTAAGCGTGATAATCTCTCACCCCAGCAGGCCTGGATTTAATCCCAATCGGCACCGCGCCTCTGATCACGCTTCCTTCCAAGGGAAGTAAAGCCGTTGGTCCTTGGTTCATGGGTTGATGAGTCGATAGGTAGGGTCAAGGTGTGGGAGCTGCCTCCCTGGCGTTGGTAGCATTGATGCTCAGCACGGAAAACAAATCAAGGAAGAAAAAAAGTACAATGGTATGTGCCTAGGGGCACGAACGGAAGCTTGACGTAGGACCGCTAGTGAACGGAACAAATATGTTGAGCCTTTAGTTCTTTTAATTGATCGATAATCTATTATTTTAATTCTTTCCTGAAAAGGGCCGGTTGTTTGTCGAATGGTGGCCGTGAGAAGGGCCGTTATTTGTTTTTTTTTTTCTGGTGTCTTGGATCGTTTGGGACGGCTACCGTTTAGCTGATGAAAAATAGTGATTATGATACCTGTAATTTTAAAAGTTTGTTTGTGACATTAAATTCTGAAGGATGATATTACTACTTACCTATATCAGTAAGTATAGGCCGATGGTAAGAGAAATAGGTGATGAATACTTCACATCTAAGATCTGGAATATGTAGCGCAAAGGCCGTGAGTGGTCGGAACAAACGTGTTTGTTCTTAATTCTTTTAATAATTTGAAAATCTATTATCTTAACTCCTATATTTGAATTGGTGGCCGTTTGTTTGTTGGTTGTTTGTCCTGAACAGGGCCTTTTGTTTTTCAAATGGTGGCCCTGAAAAGGACCGTTTGCTGTTTTTTTCCTGGTGTCCATCGAAAGCGTTGTTGGAGTTGGAAGTTCTTGGAACGAATAGGTACTAATCGCTGTTGCCTTTTGGTGCTATTTGTTTGATATTGCTGTTGTATTTGCTTCAATGGATGGAGAACTAACACGAAATGCATAAGCGTGCTACCAATTGACGTCATCGAGAAGGTTTAGAGCTGGATGATTTACGTAAGTTTATTCTTTCACAGAGACTCAATGACCCAAAGCTGATAGCAGTGTTGGCAAAATCAGAAATCAATTGATATTTTTCCGCTCTCATGCGCTCGCAATATCACGCGTGATTTTGGAACAAAATATCATGCTTGATGTTAATTTTACAAGCTCCTTTGATATTGCGAGACTATTCACAATGTGCAAAAATCAAGCTGAGAGTTGACTTGACACAAAAATGATTCCATTGCACATCGTTTTTTTAGAAAGAGAAAGCATAGTTTGCTATCTCTTTTTAATCTTCACCGATGGCAGACGCGAAGGGACTGCTGCAAGCCGTTATGGAAGTTTCGGTTGCATTCGGGTATAAAGCAAAAATCATTAAACACAATCTCACCACAGTTTGGTGAGATTTGCAGTTGGTGAGTTTTGTTAGCTTGATATTCCGAGCTGCGATATCACAGCTTGCAAAATCAACCGCAGTAGTTTGCTTGTTGATTTTTGTCTACGAAAATCAAGCGTGATCTTGGGCGTTGGTGAGATTTGATGTTTTGATATTTTCCCAACACTGGCTGATAGTGAGAGCCTCCGATGTCCACGACCTTCAGGGTCCTACCAAACCATCTCCGTCGCAAATGAAACTGCCATTTTGGATCGAAGCGAACAAACTGGTGTACTTGGGTATCTCCAGAGACAGCGTGCTCAATTGGATTTCCTGGCAGCAGCATTACGCAGGTGATCATTGTAGTCAAACTCAGCTGTGTAACGTTCGAAGGATGTTGTCGTTGGTAATGCTCTTCATTTCGAATTGCAACTGATCACGTTCACTGAATTACAGTCTGTTTTATACTTGCAGAATAGCGAACTACTCCCTTTGGAGTATTTTTTTTGTCGATGTGGGTGCATACGTTGTGTCCGACGATTATCCGTCCGTTGCTCGAAAGTAAATGACGAAGAAAACGATTTGGCAAGTATTTTTACTACCGCTGCCTTTCTCCTCCCTTCCATTCATTGGTGAAATGGTGAACGGTCAACCGAGCGGTGAGCTTTCTCATGTGAGCCTGCACAATGTGTCGTGTGTTCGATTTGCACTCTATTGTTACTTCCGTATTTGGGATTTTTCGTTATAGGGTTTTTGATCTAATTTCCGTCCTACTAAGCACAACCCGCACTTTACCTCTCTTTTCTGAACGGGTTTGAACAAAAAATGGAATATTTCTATCAAAGATGACTTCTAAATTTATTCACCTTTCCATACGTATCGTTGTATTTGATAAAGAGTGACAAATTGTTGAGATATTGTTTAAAATTAACACTGCTTCTTGCTTCTAAATTCGTCTTACGAGTTTCAATTCCATCCTAACGCATTGAAACGCCATTAGATTTTCTTCGTCCTACGGATAAACGTAGAAAAAGGGGATTCGCTAGGAGTGCTTCTTTTGTTTTGAGAACAATGAGCGTAAATATTCATACAATGCGCTCTAATAGGATTTATGTTGTAGCGAGTGTTGTAGCTAATGAACTAACGCATCGGAACAAACCTATTTTTGATTTGTTCACGGTGAAATCATTGAGATTATTGATCTTTTCTGGTCGATAGAACGAAAATGGGCGATTACGACGAAGTAGTGCTCTACCCTATGTCTGAATTTTGGTTTTTTTATGTGACCCCCAGCATAGAAATTAAAGACGTAAGTCCTACGTTAAAAAAAATCTCTTCTCACTGATATTTTCGATCTCTGGTTTTCGAAAAATTTGAATACCCATTTCACAAAAGTTGGTATTTTGGTAAGCGCCGGTTTGTGTTGGTTTATCAATCCGATCAATCGCATTTGATGATGATGAGCCAGGCTTTTGTTTGCACGGCAGTGGTGCGTTTATGAAACACATGATGGTGTGATCGTGATGGAAAGCGCAATGCGATGGCTTATTACTTGGCTGATTGGAGTGAATGACCGGGCGCTAATGATGAAAACGCCTGCCGCAAAAAAATAAAATAAACATAACTATTGTACTGTTGTTCGGATTGGCTGAAGGCAGAATGAATAGAAAAAACCTGTTGAGCTAAATGTTTTGTAGTGGGTGGATTCCAGGTCATTTGAACATGTTTCACAAAGTTCACAAAGCCAGCCTGGGGCCACATTGCGCATCATGAAACGAAAAACTTTTTCATACAAGCGTTCGTACAAAATGTCTTTCGTTTCGAGATGCGTTTAAAGAGTTAGAAATTATTGTTTTTATTTTATTCATTTCTGGAAATTCAAAGATGCTGTAGTTTGAATTCATAGTGTATAAATCCGCATCATTGGACATCTTTCTTTGATTGATTTGGAGAGTTCGTTGTAGTTAAAATATTCTAATACATTTATTATTAATTATATTGATTCCCTTCTGCTACGGCGGGATGACCTCGATCGCGTGCGATCCATGCTCATGCACAGAAGTCGGATCGATTTGCTGAAAAATGTTCTGTATAGTTTTTCGAATTTAAATCTCAGGTTTGGTCAAAATTTAGTAGTTTCGTCCAGTTACCCATACATTTTCCCATACTAACTTTAAAATTCCGCGGAATTCAGAGCATAAGCAAACTTGTTCAAATTCGGCACAGTTATTTGGGACCTTAATATTGATCGAAAGAGCAGTCGAGAGCAGACAAACTTGACCCATCCAAGCGACCTAGCAACTCAACCATGAGTGATTTGGTTCTTCAAAACTGATCAAGAATAAAAATCATCGCTTTTTATTTTCATTCGAGGACAAGTTTAATTTTAATCTTTTTGAGTTTCTTACGCAAATCGATTTTCTCACATGTGCTGCACCTCTTAGAAATAGTTCAACTTATATAAAACTGTTCATATAATAATAGTAGATCGTAATTCTAGTAGGTTTTTTTACGTCTTTCTTACGGTATAGGTAAACTGCAACTGCACTGGGATGTGTACCAGAGGAGGAGAGTTCCGCAACAACAACAAAAAAAAAACGACTGTACGACTCTTCCCCGAATGGAACGTTTCATCGAACTATTCATAACAAAACACGAGCGAAAGAAAATTGAAGTCGCTGCTCGTTCTTACATGTTTTGCAATTCAGAGAAACGGTCGATTCGAGGAAAAAAAACTATCAACGAAACTGATTCCGCGTAACTAAATGGTTTTTCGGGGGAAGTCACACAACCAAATTGCCCATAATTGCATATCAGTTCCATCTTTGCATGTGTTCATATGGGACTGTTACGCGATTATGGGTAGTACAAAAAATGCAATTTCAAATCTCAAGCGCTTAACAGTTTTGATTGCTGCATGCTCGCCATTATACTTCGGGATTAGTGAACAAAATCTAGCTATTCCGGTAAAAAAAAACATCCATCAACTAATTTACAACAATCCTACTTTTGCGCGATTTCGTTTAAAATCAAAGGAAAATAAATAAGTCATTGCTCGAAAGGAAAATGCGCATTGTAACTTGTGATCTTAAACTCTACGCAGTGCGTTTCTACAGAGGCCATCTTCGGTGTGAGGGTTTGCAATGGGAGAAAGTGCAATAATAGCTGTGGCGATGATGAAAACTGACTGTCACAGGACACGGACAGCTCTTCTTACACTCTAAACTACCAGTCGACGTTATCTTTTGCGCTTACAACGACTGAAGTCTCACAAATATCAATCAATCGAACGAAAAACATTCCCGGTGGCTCTTGAGCAGTCCACTTCTAGGCTTGTGTAAATTGTTACCCTTACCTGGTCATTTATTGGTTACTGGCTTACTAGTTTGTCCGTTGTCGTTTTACTACCATTAAATCGATTTATTGATCAACTTCAACTTGTCTTTTAACAACTTTTTCAGTTCCTTAATCTCACCCAGGTGGGTGTCCATCAGTTTCAACCGGACGGCACTTTCGCTCTTGGCACCGAGCGACATCTGTTCGAGGGCGGCTGCAAGCGAATCCGACAGCAGAGGAAGCTCCCAGGACGCTGTGAATGGTAGATGTAGATTTATGTTGAAATTTAAAAAAAGCTGAGCATGCAACATAATTTGAGAAAAAAGAGAAGGCCAAGCGGCTGGCGTTGGGGAAATAACAACAGACTGAAGAAATAAGAGAGTTGCCGGCACGGAACAGAAGCAAACAACAAATCGCCTTTTAGAAAGAACTTAGCGCAACCTCCAGAATACTTTTAACTTTCTTTTGGTGAAATTATTCGATGTCTCTTCGCTCTTTAGAGTATTTTTGACGTATACGTATCCTATAGGATTACGTCTTTCGGCAACATATTGCGGGTGCAATTAAAAAAAAAAACCAAAATCGACCAAGTTACGAAAAGTGGTCAGGTTTTGACCACTTATAACTCTATCAATCCCCCTTATTCTGCGAGTCACGTGACTCTCTCTCACCGGTGAGGTGACAATTGTCACCTCGTGTGAGGTGACTCTCCATGCAAATCAAATGGAGAGTCACCTCACACGAGGTGACTATTGTCACCTCACCGGTGAGAGAGAGTCACGTGACTCGCAGAATAGGGGGAATAGCGGATGGATATTTATTCTAAACAAGCCAATCGATTGGAATATCATCTACGAATCTGCTAAAATGAACACTTTATCAATTTTCAAAAGGTCACTATTGAATGTGCAACTGTTGCTATAATAATGACAATTATCACCGATTGACTACGAAAAGGGCTTTTCCTAACACAGATTTAAAACCATGCGGTTTCACCAACCCGGGGGCAACTTAACAACTCCTGTCAGGGCTATTCTGCGCGGCGTGTGAGGTGAAGTGACAGTGAAGTGACAATTGTCACCTCGGGTGAGGTGACTCTCCATTTGATTTGCACGGAGAGTCACCTCACCCGAGGTGACAATTGTCACTTCACAAGTGAGAGCGTGTCACCTCACCTCACACGCCGCGCAGAATAGGCCTGTGTATATTGCAAGTGTACCCGGATAATTTGGTGCTGGTCGTTCTGTCAAACTCCTTGGTCAAACTCACAAATTTCAGAAGTGTTATCTGAATAGAGCGAATGCGGAAATGATGTATATTAAATAAAATGCAAGTTTATAATTCATCTCATACAAAGGAAGTTTAGTAATTTTACCGAGAAATGTTGTTTTGATTTTCAGTCGATTTTGTTTACAATACATAATCAGTTTATGAAACATTATTTTGTGTAGCCTCGTTTGTATTATGTTTATTTGTTTATTTGTTATGGTTGCATCAACAGACTAGAAATAGTCCCAATGATGTGTTGTAAAAAAGTACAGATCATACAGACGACATACATATACTACAGTTACTACAGTTACAAACGAAAATAACTTGGAAAGCATTGTCAAGTTACTAAAAATTTATAAGTCTTAAATTTTACACTTAGCTGTTGGGTATCAAGCGCCTTCGGCAGAGAATCTTCGGCGAAGCATATTCCGTGTCAAGTGGAAATCGAACATCGACGCTACTCGGTTGAACACACATGTTGTGTGTCTCATAGAATTAATCCATACAAATGAGCATTGAGCAAGGATACTTTGGGTGTTTTCAACGTCTATATTATCGTCGATGATAAACAAAGAAATCTCGATTACTTTTTCAAAGGGACGTATCTGCTTTTGTAAACAATGCATTTGATCATCGATTTGGCATAACTAGATGCTTGCCCACGCATACTAACACCACTATCAGGTATGGGTAAGCGTGGGCGAGCAACTAGTTACACCAAATCGACGATCAAATGCATTGTTTACAAAAGCAGATACGTCCCTTCGAAAAAGTATTCGAGAAATAATTTTTTTGCAGCAAGTAAGAGTAGCTAATACAATTTGAGGTACAAGCTTGCAATAGTACTACGATGTACCATAGAGGTAACTCTAAGACTAAAAGGTCCCGAAGAAACGTGCTAAACTTTTTGGCTCAGCTCTGGTACTCTCTTCGGTCGCAAACTAATCGATGCACCCCTCGAAACATAGAAAAATCCACGAACCCCTCATTTTATCGGTTAAACTTTCATAGCGAATCAAAACAAACATAGTGTAGTGCTAGAATTTCGACTAGAATGGTGTACTTGGGACCAATAGGCTAGTTAAGTAGTGAGCCAATTTAAAATCGTTAGTTTCCACCGGTGGCTATTAGGGTGTTCAACACCGATAAGTCTGGCGAGCTGTAAATTGTTTGGAACGAGGGTGAGACGCTTGGTACAGATAGCCCACAGCGGCTCACGACGAGCAACTAAATCCGATCAGTAGCGGTGCGGCTTCTTCCTCCTTCTTCGGTGAATCGAGAGTTCTTGAGGGCAGCTTTGATAGCTCGCTGCTTGCGAGGAGCCTTTCGTTGTGTACTTACAACGCCACGCGCCGAAAGCACTGCTGCTGCTGCTGCTGATGACAACCGGACATCACCACTCACTACACGCGGTGATTGAACTGGCTCGGCGAGACCGAATTCGATTTTGAAATCTGTGTTAGGGAAAGCGCTTTTCGTATACAATCTGTGATAATTTACACTATCATAGCAACAGTTGCACATTCGTGAAATTTGCAATAGAGACATTTTGAAAATTGAGAAAGTCGCTTTTTTTTAGCAGCAACTCGCAAGCGGGAATATCCAGCTTTACGTCTATGATCAACAGAAAGCTTTTCCTGGTTGACATGTTTGAACTTCTGTTAATTGTAGTGCCTTGCGTTTACCAGCTCGCACCTGAAACGTATCATCTGACTCCGTGAAAGCGTAAGATAAGAAACTTATGCGGACCAACGCTCGTTCGATAGAGAATAGCTCATTTCAAATGATATGATTTCCCAACGAGAAACCATGGTCAAGTACCATATACTTACAAAGCACAGCTTCACACTCCGTCAGGTTGGTTTTGAGAGCCCGCAGCACATCCGTCACCAGCAGGAGTCGATTTTTATCCACCATCAGAACAACCGTCGGCTCGTGATTGTTCAAATCGGAGTCCTTCTTTTTGGCCTTCCGCGTTGGCTGCGGAGCCGGCGCTTGCGAGTATTTATCGTAGCACACAGTCAACACGAATAGCACCAGCGAGGCAGTCTGCGGGAAGATCGGTTAGTTTAGAGAATGTTTCAATTGGGGAGGGGGGACCAATGGTTACCTCAATGCATGCATTAACCGTGTCATGCACTTTCTTTCGATTCCACAGCAAATCGTCGGAACCGTTGTAGCTTTTGATGGAGCTCGCAATCAACGCAAACAGTTCGTTAACGTTTTTCACGCACTCTTCCGCTCCGGACCGTATTAGATCGTGCTTTTCGCCCTTCCACAGCGCCAGCAAGAACCGACCCAGGTTCACGAATACGCTTTCGTACGGCATCTCCAGCACTGAATGCAGTCGTGACGGTAGTAAATTGACTAGAAATCTTTCGCATGCAGGCAGTCGGTTCTTGGAGCGTACCGTAGCGAACAGCTCCTCCCAGTGGCGGCACAAATCCACCGCCGTTTGGTACTCTTCGTCCGATCCCTTGGTAAACAGCTCAACGAATGAGGAAACCAGCCTCAACATGCCAGACCGCAGCTGCAGTAGTTCTACCTCTTGCACATAGCTCTCCTTTTGGCATTCCTGGCGCAGCTGTTCAACGCTTTTCGACTCCAGCACAATGGCATAGTTCTCGTTATTTTTCAGTACGGATTCGGCACCTTCCGGCGGGAGCACCTTCGAATAGTCCACCACCGGATCCCAATGGACAAATATCGTCAAATCACGATTGTCACTCAGTTCGTCCCACTTGATCCGGTCTTCGTGCGGTTTTACCCGCATCAGTCGGTAGGCGGAGAGATTCTGGGTCAACGTACCACTGAAGCATACCATTTCCAACAGCAAAGCCTCGACGGAAATAAGCGTGAAATGCAGGCTATTCGAGAGACGATCCCTAAAGTCGAGGAACTCAATCAGCTTCGAGAACGAACCAAAGTTGTACGACGTCTTCAGAAACTCGACACTGTTCTGGTGATCGTTGATGAAGAAGTTGAGCGTTTGATCGAAGATTTGCTTGGCCAAGACGGGGAATCCTCCATTGCAAAGATGACTGCAGTGTAGATAGCCGAGCGAATCCAACTGAATGTGTTTGACGTCAAGTGATTCGTACGCTCGGTGGCCAGCCTCTACCAAACCTAACCGATGATACAGCTGAAGGTTGAGCAGTTTGCCGTGGAAGTTGTTGATGCTGTTCGAGAGCAGATGATTCAATAAGCAGAGAGCTTCAACCAGCGGTTCCGATCTCTGCAGCTTCCAGGCTCGGTCGTACATGATGTTGACTAAAAGCAAATAAGGAAACACTAAAGAGCAATCTGAGTTGAAGGAAACTATGCCTACCTGCCAACAGAGCATAGGGATCTGAGGGCCCCATATCCGTAGGAAGCAGTCCTTGTCCGAACGTGTTATAACCGTGCTCGTAGTGCAAACTTAATGCCGTATAAAGAGCCGACAAATGTTCTTCGCTTAGTGCCGCATGGGCTCCACAGAAGCGCGCAATTTGTAGCGAACAAATGTGTCGTTGCATATGTTCTTTCTGGAAATCGGAGAACAGTTACCTAAACACCAATTCATCCGATATAAATCCCATTAGAACTTACACTACTTGGCAGCGTGACGGGATTGATTCGACATTCCTGCATTAACTGGGCAGCAAAGCCGGGCCGTTTCGCCGGTTCCACGTATTCCAGAAATAGTTTCAAATCGTTGGCGCAACACGTTTTATCCCCAAACATGCGGAAATAATCCAACAGTAGATCTGTCAGCTCACCAAATAGCTGCTCTTTTTCGAATTTGTGTTCCACCATCAGCCGAGACAGCTCCAGCCGAGCCAAATAGGGACCCCGATTCTTACGTGGCTGGGTTTCAATAATCTGCCATTCGAAATAGAAAGATTAAAATGGGTTCAGATATTATAAAAAATCAATATCATACTCCAGCAATAAACTCGTGGCACAAATCGACCGTATGATCCGTATCCGGTGACTCATTCTTACTCTTGATCAGTTCCATTGTTGATTGGATGTATTCCTGGAAATAATCCCACCGATCGAAGCTGCAAAATAGTTTCCAAATTCATTTCTTGCGTCATTTTTCCGATTATCCCATCAATGCTACTTACTCCTCCGCGAGCAACTGCTTCATTAGTTGATTCAAATCGGCCCATTTTCCCAGCTTTTTCAGCAGATCAATTTTAATCGACGCCGGTGCTCCAGGGTACAGCTTAGTGCACACTGGTCCCTCCAGGAAAGTCAACATCTCCTGATACTTCTCCTGATGCTGCAAAATTTGCAAATACAACTGTACTTCCTGCGAAGCTTCGAGCTTATTTTCCGCAATCAACTTATCGACCATCCGCTGGGCTAACGACAGCAAAAGACTGGACTTCTGCTGATCCTTGGCATCGGGTCCACGCAAAGCCTGCAGAACTACACTCATCACAGCCCAGAAATAGAACGGATTCCTAGGTTTAAGCTTATACAGCTGCAAGGCTACCATTTGCTGCGCTTTAAAATCGTTCACTCTCATATGGGCGATAAACAATTGCGAAAGCAACTCCTCGTTGCCTGGCAGTTGCTTCGAGGCACTGGTAAAAAGCTGACAAATCTTATCCAACTGATCCGTTTCTTTGTAGCACAGGGTCATTACATGCAGCGTTGTAGATTCCGTTGGAGTTTCCTGCTCTAGAGCCCGGATCAGGGAGGCACTTTCTTCATCTCGTCCTAGTCGGATGAAGGCCCAGGCCTTCAGCGCCCGACCACACTGGATGGTTGGATTCTTCTTCAACACCTTCTCTACATCCTGCAGGGCCTTTTTGTAGTTGCCGATCTCGATCGATTCTAAAACAAAACAAACCATCATCAGGCTGACAACCCTATCTCAATCCTTTCTCTCTTTCTCGCTCCCCATCCAAAAGCCGCCGGTGAGTGATTGAGAAAAACAATAACCTCACTATTTTGCATCCCCTTTCCCTTCTTCCAATACTTTTCAGACCAACAAAAAATCATCGCACGATAATTAGCAAAAAAAAAGACCAGAAAACTCAATGGTCCTTCCGAAATAAAAAAAAAAACTCCGGGAATACCTTATCCTATCCGGATTTCTAGACCTCAAACTTGACCAACCTGCACTGTTCTCATTCACAAAAAAAAACTATTATCACCGATTTCCCACTCACCAAAGATTGGCCGAAGCCTTCGCTCCACTACGAGTTCCACGTTTTGCATCTTTCCAGTTAACGCTGTTCCTAAACGTTGATTTTCACGCTTCCGCGATTTTTATCACTATTTCTACTCACTAATGTTCCGCAATACAAAGCTCAACGAATTGAGTCCGAATTTGGAACTTTTTAACACAATTTGCACAGATTTCGTCGCGTTTTTTCCGCGAGACTTTTTCCTCCGCTGCTGGCGAAGTAACTCTTTTTCTCCCCGACCAAGAAGAAAGAAGAGGAACAACCTAAATGTCAAAAAAATTGACGGCGATGTTTTTGCCCCGAGGATGTTTGTGTTGAGGACAGGCGTGTTGCGAAAATCGTTTGTGATTTTACCGTGATTTTTGTCCGTATTGCTTATACACGGTAACCGCAAAATACCCAATAATTACTACAAAGTTCGCATTTTCGAGGGAAACTGGGACTACCTAGAGTCGGTGTATAATGAGTCACGCCAAGAGTGAAGCCAAGTCTACCTATTGAACAGTCAAACCGGCTACCTATCGTGCAAAGTAAACAAACATTACGATGCTATGAAAGGTCCACGAAGGTATTGCAATAAAATATAAAATACACGGAACCGAATTTTGTTCATTTAAATCAAAAATATAAATGTTCATTCTACACGCAGAAAAAATTACCGTCGAAACAAAAATATTTGAGGTAAATTTAAACGTAAATTCAGTTTGTTCTGGCCACAAACATAAACTAGGTTGATTTCAAACGTATTCTACGTTTGAATCCATTGATAATAATGTTTAAAACAAAAATAATGTTACGTTTATTTTAAAAATATTCGTGTTGAAAATAAACGTGAATATTTTTGATTTATTTGAAAACTATATGCAATCAAAAATTAATATGTTTATTTTAAACATGCTTTTCATGTTTAAAATAAACAAACATATTTTGAAATTATTTTAGCATTTGAATGCTGAATAAATCAAAATAAAATGGATAGCAAATTAATGGAAATTCCTGCGATTATGGAAAGTCTGTGGATGTTTGGATCCGGGGGGCCGTCGGGGTGAGTGTCCGGAAGTTTCAGTTCAGTAAAACCAGTGAAACTTTGTGATATCAGCGTCGTTTTGTCGTTTCTAACGCTGGTCCTCATGCCGGCCTCTTTCTACGTTCGGTGTTCAAGGAGGGGGGACTGGAGGATCCGGAATAGATTCAAAATCTATTTAGGATTTTCGTTTTTCTTTCAACATCAGTTGTGGAGGAGGATGATAAAGGATCGGCATCAGAAACGAGAGAGCGACGTCGATACCGCTGGGGTTCCTCCGGTTTTATCGAGCCGGAACTTTATTAAGACACTTACCTAGGTGGGTTTCCGAATCCATGATTTCGGTTTTGTTGCGGGCCGTTTTCAGTTGATTGGGGCATTTTTTTCCGAATGAAAACAAGAAGGAAAAAAAAGGCAGGGCACGCTAAAAATCGTTTACCCAAATTCTATATTGTTGAAATAAACATGCTTTTGACTTTAATTCAAACATATATATTTTTGTTGCAAACATGTTTTTAATTTATTTTGAATTAATCATATGTTTATAGAATGAACATTTATATTTTTGATTTAAATGAACAAAATTCGGTTCCGTGAGAAGTGACATTAGCGTTTATTGGCTGATGTTATTCAGTGCGACTGACAAATTGAATAATGGTTGTGAGAAAGTTGAGTTAACGCTCTCCAAAACTATTTTGCTAGCTTTTGCTTGTAGCTGTATCTGCAGCTTCTTTTCAGCTACTTTACAGCACAACGCTGGAAAAGTTGGCTTCCAAAGCTGAAAATGTTAGTTGGGTAAAGCGTTTACATTGTGAAAATTGTTAGTTGGGGAGTGCAGCAAATATTCGTGCACTGATCTACATATATATGCAAAAAGTGAAAATTCTCGCGTCACTTTTCAAATAGACCAATAAAACAAATGTAAACAAATCGAGTTAAGCTATACAAACTATTGCTCTTCTATCATTGTATGTGATACAAAAACATCCATCCAAATTTACTTTCATTTATTTAGGATAATCATAGGTCAAAAATTGTCCAATGTACAGTTTGAAATGATGGGTACATGTTTGTTACTTCGGTCATTCGGACTGCCTAACATGATTGGTGCTCATTTTCTAAAGGCGGGGCCAACCTAAAGTTACACGGATAGAAATCTCCTTATACCTTTTGGAAAATTTCTATTGCTGATTATTCATAAAATGTATAAGTCAAGTAATAAGCAGACGCCTTGTAAAAAGTTAATGAAGATCATATGTCAAATGAAATGTATGAGCGGTCACACATACCTTTTATGCATTCTTATAGGACCTATGTGGTTTATCTTATGGAATTTATAAGGCTGATGTTTTTGGCAAAAATGTATAAGTGAAACACATGATTAAAATAATTGATTTTCGTTTCATAGGTACTCTACTCTAAAATCTGTGGAAGGGAATCTAGTATCATGTAGACAAAACGTCCAATGTAACACTCATTGATTATGTCATTGAGAAAAATCGTCCAATGTAACATGTCCAATGTACAACTTGACTAGTCAAAACGTCCTATGTGGTTTTTTCTATATTGTACCATTAAATTCAAAGTAAAATTGTGATTTTACCGTTTCTAATGAATTTTCAACGTTACTGACTACATTAAAAATGGTATTGCAAAATGTATTGTTTCATAACAGTTAAAATAATAATCCGTCGAACTTCAACTTCGATTTTCTCAAAATGGTGGATAGGTAACATTGGTCTATTTGATAAGTGACACGAGAATTGATTCCTTTATATTGAGTTCTCCAAGGAGTTCTAACGAACACTACACTAATAATATAATTTTACACACACTCGAGCACACACTAGCGTATACTGTCATGTGCACGATAAGAATCAAACATTCATTTAGGAGTAAAAGTGAACCCATTGTCAATAAAAGTGGCACTGCTAATTAATGAGTAATTTAATTAAGTAGTAACTGTTAGCTACTGTTACCAGAAACTCATTGTTGTTTAAATAATTTACTCATTAATGAGTAAAGCCACTTTTATTAAAAATAGGTTAAATTTTACTCATAAAATGGTATTTGACTGTTACCGTGCAAGTGTAGGGTTTGTTTTCGTTTTGTTATTTATTTTTACTTTAGAATGACAGTTCTTACTGCAAACAAAAAATTTCTCACAGTTAACAAAAAATTTCATCTCACTAACACCTCGACTAACACACGCAAATCGCACCAATACGAACCAAGGGGGGAAGGTGGCTGTCAAATACGAACAATCGTCGCCTACCTCGCATGCCTCCCATAACTGGTTCCAAACGTAAACAAGCCATAAGAAACCTACACTCAAAAATAATATTATTCCAAGAATGATTAAATTTTATACATTTCATGTATAAACCAGGGGGACGACACTTCAGGATTATCCAATTTTTACCCAAAACACTCCTAAAATTTTCAACGTGCACAAAATTTCAATCCATCCTATCTATTCTTTCTATTCCCAACTTATCCCTTCTGCATGCACACAAATCATCAAGCAAGCCGTGCAGTTTTCAGGTCGATCGCGAAGCACTGTCAGTTTTCAACGATCTCCATAATAAACATGGTGTTAAAACAATTTGATATTCGTTGAGTCGTTCAAGGTGGCGATTGTCCTGGCGAAGCTGGTGGAAATGAATTAGGGAATGAATAGTACGAAGGTAACCACCACGTATATCTATGCTGAAGGCCAAGGATGAAGTGATTTCTCGATTGACAAATGAGAACATCTGAAAAAAGAAGCAGTAAAAATCGTTAAACTGTTTATTTTTTAATCTGAATTTGAAAGAATTAATGAAACACACTCGATTCAGTCCAATGGAAATGAAAAGAATCATAAAATTGAAACTGAACCCCAAATTTTCAAACGTTGAATGTGAAAATTCACAGATTTTGAGTGGTGCCAGTATTGCACGAATCCGACGATATATCTCGCTCTCTCATTTGTGGAGAGTCGATCGAATATTATAGGACAGGTGTGGGATGAGCAGGATGACCAGTGAACCGGGAAATCGGGAAAACCGGGAATTTCAATGAAAAATCGGGGAAATAATTACTTCATCAAGGCTTTGAAAAGTTTTAAGATTCTTGGACCAGACTAAACTTTTTTTGGAATTTTGAGTAGATTTTAGAATGAATGTCAGGGATAACAAGTCATTTCAGGTGATATTAAGGTGATTCGCTGTGACATCCTTATTCTCGTAACCACTTCGAAAATTTAAGTGCACAAATATCAGCTTCTACGCACGTGCAACATTTAAATTGTTACTCTACGTTTGCTGCACTGCAGCATACATAAAGTAGCAATTTCAAATGAAATGGGGCACTGATTCCCGAGATTTGTGTAATAGAAAATTCGAGGTGGAAGCATAGAGGTAACTCTAAGACCACTGGGTCCCGAAGAAAATCATTATTTTGTTTGGCTCACTCAGTACCAGAACAACGGTCCCAAGCAGTCCCAAGCTATTTCACTCACCCCTGCATGTTCTGCATGAATCCACACACCCCTGATGTTATCTGTCAAACTTTCATAGCGAATCAAAACAAACATAGTGTAGTAATAGAATTTCAACTAGAATAGGGTACGTTAATCGTTTGCTTGGGACCAATAGGCTACTAAAGTGGTGAGCCAATTTAAAATCGTTAGTTTCGTATTGATTGTTGGTGGAAGTGCATGTATAGTCTACGTGGCGGCCAATTGTGGACTCTACAAGGAACCACCTTAAAGGTAGTTTTAGAAAGCGCTCTAAGAGATTTTAGACTTTCACTCCAAGTCACTTTTGTGAGTTCAAATTCAGGGTAGAATTTTTAAGTTTATTTGTCGAGAATTGCAAGTCGGTTGTGAAGATCACACTATCGAGACCGGACCGAGGTTTCCAGCCTCGGTAACGGCTACACGAATCCGCGATGCTGCTATTCCTGCAGCTGTAGCCGCTTCTGCTGGCTTTCAAAAATTCAATAGTATCAATAGTAGAGGGCTTTTATAGTCCAGCTGTCACCATCCAAACATTATTTTTCACTGAGTATTGACTAAAATGGCTACTTCGATGTTTTCCTTTCGTACTGTTTCATTTCAGTTGCACGCATCCCCATGACAATTTAAAGCACCCTCGCATTCAATGCAATCCCATTAGGAATCCCATATATTTTTTTTTTATCCTTACTCAATTTTCGTCAAGATGACAAATTCAAAAAACTCTCTTCAATTACATTATTTTTACATACAAGCATGGTAAAATAGAATGCATCTGAATGAGTGTCGTTCCCCCTGGTATAAACGTTGATTATACATCGGTTGGCTTAAAAAGTAATCAGGTCTTAGATTTATTTTACACTAAAAAGTAATATAAGGGACAAAATCATCAACTGGCATAATCTTCGAGCAAAGTATGTGCTTGTTGCGTGTCGATCGGTCTCCGATTGCAACGAAAAAGTTTTGGTGTTTATTTAGGTGAAAAATATCATAGTGAAACAAAAACATGAAAGTTAGGATTTTCCGGTAAAAAACATTCTAAATAATTATTTCTCCAAACATAAAATGAATGTCTTAACTTCCATCATAACAACCTCACTTTATCCGATTTTGATAAATGCCTGTGTTTTACTTGTCTATCAGTTATCATAGATGGCCAGACAGAAACCTTATCTGGCGGTGGACCAAGACCGTTGACAACATCTCTTGAAAAAGCTAAAAGTATTAGAAGCAACTCCTTTCAAACCCCAGAACGAGAATCCGAAGTTAATCATCTGAATTCACGGAAACGATCATAGTCCTTCCGGACGCGCTAAGAAGATCTGCAGGAAAACAACGGGAATTGCAACAGAAGGATTCGATTAAAAAAGTCACGAAATTCCTTTGCTGAATGCAAATGACAACATGGGAAATATTATGGAGGATACTGTGTGGTATGCACCAGCCTATAAAATGATAGCCCAACATGTATCAGCCTAATGCGTGAGTGACAACAGCTCAGTCACTCAGCGCTCACCAGCTAGCTCACACGAAGGCACTGCTGTACAGTCGTACCGCCATCGCAGTCATCATTGACGAGTGAACCTTCTTTGAGGTAAGTTGAGTGTGTGCCTACTGCTGCGTGTTGGGTGATTCCTAGCGAATGGCGGAACTGCACATTGGCGACCGTTTCAGGTATTTTACTGCTTGTTATTTAGCAGCAAAAGTAAGTATAATTGTCTCTTTGAGAATCACCCAATGTGTGGCGGTAGAGAAATTCAACAAAAAAAAAAAGAGTGAATCAGCAAAAACAAAAAAAAAATGGTTGCCGTGTGATGCAGCTGCGGGGGGCGCTAGTGCGCCATTGTGTTTTTTTTTGTTCGTGTTCATAGTGTGTTTAATCATGATTTGTAGTGGTGTGATGATAATTGCTCAGGACGAGCACGGACCATAATTTGGTGATAAAAATAAGAACACGAGGAAGACAGTTTGAGGTTTTTCGCCGAACTATTGTGGAAGTGCAATAGCTCGGGAGGAGCATTAACCAGTGAACTAGCTCGGGACGAGCACTGATAAAGGTGATTGATAGTTCGGGACGAACAAATTGCATTTAGCTCGGGACGAGCACTGAAATTGTTTGAAAGCTCGGGACGAGCACTGGATTTGTTTGATAGCTCGGGACGAGCACTGAAATTGTTTGAAAGCTCGGGACGAGCACTGAATTTGTTTGATAGCTCGGGACGAGTATATATAACGTTGTATGCTGAGTTATTATTATTATTATTTAGCTTTATTTAGGAGGCTTTCAGCCTTAGGCTGGTTCGCCTCCATGTATGCTGAGTTATTGATTGTTGGGAAATTTTTACTAGCTGAATTGAAGCCATTGAGAAAAAAAACAGCAATAAATTAAATGTGGGCTGTACGCTAACAGCACAATTGTGCTTATCCGTTTGTTTTTCAGATAAGTTTTACATCTACCTCGCGAAGAATTTTTTGGTGCTGTGCAAGTCACAATGTCAAGCCCGGGTAAATATGTTCGTGCTCCGGCTTTTGAAAACAACAGGGAGAGTTCAGAAGAATCAGAAAGCTATGTGTCCAGCCCTGGAAGGTTTGTGCGAGTTACCAATTCTGATGCAGCCCACATAAGTTACATTGGTGACACACATGATGAGCTTTACGCCGACTATTACACTTCAGTAGATCCGGATAAGGAAACGCGAGAATTGCGGAAAAGAATATTTGAACTGGAGAAGACTATTGCGGAAATCGCTGGTTCCGGCTTGCGTAATCACGAAGATAATCATCGTTCTGAAGCAATTCATAGCTCTGAAGGACCAGCATTAGCACCAACCTTGACATCAACCGTAATGCAAACTGGTAGCAGTACGCAAAGCATCAGATGGGACAACATCAAACCGTTCCCGAAAGGCGTTTCTGCTAACAAACTGTGGGAAGCTTGGATAAAATACTTCGAGAACTTCGAGTTGGCAGCTTCATTGGCTAATGCAGATGACCCGGTGAAGCGATACCAAATGCTATACTTATCCATTGGAGATGAGCTTCAAGGAATTGTCCGTGCGGCCAAGTTGCGTCCTGACTCGAATGGTCCCAGTTGCTATGCGATTTTTGTTAAAAACATTGAGAACTACTTGAAGTCATTAACTGATACCTCGGCCGAGCATGACATGTTTTCGTCTATGCAACAGGAGAAAGGAGAATCGGCAGTTAACTTCCATGCCAGGTTAATTTGAAAAGCTTTTAAAACAATATGTTTCAATTATATAATGATGTCTTATTTTGTCAGGTTGATGGAAAAAGTATGGCTTTGTGGTTACAGTACATCCGACCAAGAGCGTTTTGTTCGAACGCAACTGCTGAAAGGATTAAGGAATCGTGCATTAGCTAATGCAGCAAGAACGTATGGACATGATACAAACTTTGTTGTTCAGTCAGCTACGCGAGATGAAGCTTTACAGCCCGAGTCTCCATCACTCGAGGATCCGACATCCATCATGGCTGTATCCCGTAGTTTTTCTCGTGGCGTGGGAATGAAGCGTAAACAAAGTAATGGCAATGAGACAGGTCCTGGTTTCAGACCAAACCAATTTCGAGGAGAAACTAAGCTTCCATTACAACGTTATGAACGGTGTTCAAGATGTAATCGGGCTGTCCATGGTGGTCTACGGTGTCCAGCGTTGGACAGAAATTGTAACTCCTGTGGACGCCGCGGCCATTTTGCTGCAACCTGCCGTATGAAACGAGTCAACAATGTAGAGGGCAGTCGATATAAATCCGATTCTATGGTGGAAGATAATAAGGCACAGGTAACAACCGATACATTCTGATAAAAAAATATGCAGAAAATATAACAGAATATCATGTTTTCGCAAATTATGGTTTTTTTTCATTCAACGAGGGATTCATTTTCATTTTTCAGCAAATCAACGCACTTTCGCTTGGAGACGTGATGGTTGATTGTACCGTTGGCTCATCAAATCCAATAAGATTTCTTATTGACTCTGGGGCAGATGCTAATGTTATTGGTGGGGATGATTGGCGCAATCTCCAGGAGCAGTCGCAAACTGGATGGGCGAGGATTGATTATATTCAACTTCCTGGTAACAGGGATTTACGCGGTTATGGGGCCGATAAGCCAATGTTAGTTGAACATGCTTTCAGAGCCAAAATTCATGCAATTGGATTCAGAAAACCGGTCGTAACTGCAGACTTCCTGGTAGTTAAACAGGGTCGCTGTTCGTTGCTTGGTAGAAATACTGCGAGTGACATGGAGTTGTTAAAGGTAGGCGCTGATGTTTATAATTGTAGACAATCACAACAGGACGAAGTTTTTCCGAAGATGCCAGGAGTTAAGGTAAAGTTTTGCGTTGACAAATCGATTGCTCCAGAGAAAAACGCATATTATAATGTTCCGGCGGCATATCGCGAGGCTGCAAGACTTCGGCTCAAGCAAATGGAGCAGCGCGGAATCATCGAGAGGGTTACTATGGCACCGGAGTGGATCAGCGGTATGTCTGCGGTGCAAAAAGGAAAGGACGATTTTCGGCTGGTCGTCAATATGCGGGCACCGAACAGGGCAATCAAGCGTCAATATTTCCGGCTGCCTCTAGTTGACGAGATGAAAGTCAAGTTGCACGGTGCAAAATATTTTTCTAAGCTTGACTTGTCCAACGCCTACTATCATCTTGAGTTGAGTAGTGAGTCACGAGATTTAACAACTTTCTTAGCAGAAGACGGGATGTACAGGTTTACCCGACTTATGTTTGGGGTAAACTGTGCTCCTGAAGTTTTTCAACGAGAGATGTCTCGAATTTTAGAGGAGGTAAAAAACAAAATTGTTTATATAGACGATATACTGTTGTATGCTGAAACGCTAGAAGAGTTACGAAAGACTGTCGCCCATGTTTTACGTATCTTGAACACAAACAATCTGACACTCAATATGGCTAAGTGTGAGTTTGATCAAACCCGCATTAAATTCCTGGGACATGAGCTGGATAAGTCAGGATTCAACATCGAGGAATCAAAAATCAAGGACATCAGGAAGTTCCGTCATCCGAGCACCACATCAGAACTGAGGAGTTTCTTGGGGTTGGCTTCATTTGTGAGCCCGTACATACGAAACTTTGCAGATATTTCATCTCCTTTGTGGACCACGGTGTCTTCAAAATCTTGGACCTGGGGACAGGAACAAGAGCAAGCATTTGAGTTAGTCAAAGATCGCATTGTACATTGTACAATTTCACTTGGATATTTTTCGGAAGATGACAAAACCGTTTTATATACAGATGCCTCACCTAATGCTTTGGGAGCAGTGTTAGTGCAGGAGGATGGTAAACGTACCCCTCGCATAATTAGTTTTGCGTCTAAGGCGCTGACGGTCACTGAGAAAAAGTACGCCCAAAATCAACGTGAAGCTTTAGGAGCTGTGTGGGCGGTCGAACATTTTGCATACTTTTTATTAGGTAGGCATTTCACTTTGCGCACTGATGCTAGAGGCATAACTTTTATTTTGAATCGATCTCGGGAAACCGCTAAGAGAGCTTTAACAAGGGCCGATGGCTGGGCGTTAAGACTCAGCCCTTATAGCTACGATGTAGAGTTTGTGCGTGGCTGTGAGAATATTGCTGATCCCTCTTCTCGTCTGTATGATGGAAATGACGACGCTTTCGACGAGGAAACCAGTCCATGGGAAATTGCGCATCTAGAGGCAAGTGCTGTGCAGTTTTTGACTGAAACCGAGATTAGGGAGTCTACCGGTCGTGACACCACTCTTCAACGAGTATTGGATTCATTGGAAACTGGAGATTGGCCTAAGGAACTACAAAAGTTCAAAGCAATTTCAAATGATTTACTTGGTAAAGATGGAATGCTTGTAAAAAGTGGTTGTGCGGTTATTCCCAGCGAGCTTAGAGAGCAAACACTAGCAATCGCACATGCAGGTCATCCAAGCATATTGCGTAAGCGTGTTTGGTGGCCTGGAATGACAGCAGATGCTGAACGCTGGGTAAAATCTTGTGTACATTGTGCTGTAAACGGAAAACCGGAGTGTCATACTCCAATGGAACGCACGTTTGCACCAAAGGCGGTTTGGGAGACCATAGCGATGGACTTTAACGGACCTTACCTGAAGTTTGGCGGGATATCCATCTTAGTAATTATTGACCTGAGATCCCGCTATGCAATCGCTCGACCTGTGAAGTCTACTGCTTTCGAATACACTAAGAAAGTCTTGGATGACGTGTTTGGACGGGAAGGCTTCCCTAAATCTATCAAGTCTGACAACGGGCCTCCATTCAACGGTGAAGAATATAAACAATATTGTTCAGATCGTGGCATTCAGACTATCTTTTCGACGCCGTTCTTTCCTCAGCAAAATGGGCTGGCGGAAAGTTTTATGAAGGTAGTAAATAAAGCGATGTCTACAGCAGTTTCAAGTGGAATCAGTTATGCTGAGGAGCTTCAGAATGCAGTTCATGCCCACAACGCCGGAATTCATTCGGTTATAAAGATTTCGCCAGAAGAAGTTATGATGGGGAGGAAGATAAAACGTGGTTTACCGTTACTAGAGTACGGGCAGTCTGATTTCGATGATCAACTGCTAAGTGCAAGAGATCGTGATGTAAAGTTGAAAGGAAAAGATCATGAAGATCGGCGTCGTGGTGCTAAGAGAAACACAGTCATGCCTGGAGATATTGTGATCGTAGAGCGTCAAACAAAAGGGAAAGGAGATACCCGGTTTCATGTCAAACGTTTTACGGTAATTAAGGAGAAGAATGGCAGTTTGCTTCTTGCTGATGATGAAGGTCATACTGTAAAGCGACATGTGTCGCAAACAAAAAAAGTTCACACCTGGAGGGACAGCTCACGAACTAGCACCGAGAAACAAATGGATACAGAGTCATCGAAACGACCAGCAAGGGAAAGGAAAACTCCATCGTATCTATTTGACTATGTTCGTTTGATGCAGGATAAGTCATAGTAAGTTATACTCTGGTGATTTTCATATGAGGTTGGTAATATTTTGATGATAATAAATTCAAACGTTTTCAAAGTTCGTTGTTGTTCGCTAGCCTAAATACAATAAATGGACGATTACTCAAATTGTAGAAATATTCCTTAAAAAGTTTGGATTATACCCTGAATACGACAAGCAAACGAACCATATAAATTTTATTAGGGAAAGCAAGCTATTTTTTTTCTTTTTCTTTTTTTATCTTGTTCTTTTACCTGAGAGAAGAGGGGAGATGTGTGGTATGCACCAGCCTATAAAATGATAGCCCAACATGTATCAGCCTAATGCGTGAGTGACAACAGCTCAGTCACTCAGCGCTCACCAGCTAGCTCACACGAAGGCACTGCTGTACAGTCGTACCGCCATCGCAGTCATCATTGACGAGTGAACCTTCTTTGAGGTAAGTTGAGTGTGTGCCTACTGCTGCGTGTTGGGTGATTCCTAGCGAATGGCGGAACTGCACAGATACCTAGGCTGGTCAACAAAGCGAACAACGATGATTTGGTCTTTTCCAGCTATAAATTTTGCCAACGCGTCTTGACGGCGATTTTAACAGGACAACGAAATATTTTTTATTTGTCATATTGGAAAATAAAGTTTATTAACTTGACGATTGTTTTCCTTATCAAACTAAAACAAATAACACTAATTTTAAAATGACAGCAATCAAACGCATTCTATGAATAATCAAACAGTAAAACAACTATGCATTGCACTCACTTTATACTATTTTAAGTATAAACAATATTTATAATAAGTTTGCATTCTCTCCCTTTATACCGACCTTTGCGTCGGTACGGAGAGTTGAGATTTAGCGTAACTTTTATACTTTTTGGCTTTCAATATTTTTTTAGTGTAGCTTTCATTGGAAACGCACATGATTTTCATTCATAATCAAAATTAATGGAATTCATCTGAATTACACATAACATTTATGCGATCACATTAATTGTATGTGATTTTTCATATGAATTTCATCGGCCTCATAATATTCATTTGATTTTGTGGGATTTGCTGCTATGTGATCACAGGAAAGCTATGTGAAATTCACATGGATTTCATCCATTAGATATGTGATAAATTTTTTGAGTGTAGTCCTCTCCAGGTGGGTTCGTATCTGGGGGGGACGTGCTGTCAAATCAGCCTACTGATCATTCTTGTATGAAACTGGCTCCAAACGTAAACAATCGCTGTACACTCAAAAAAATTTAAAATCTAAATAGATTAAAAGTTACACTAAATCGCAACTCTCCTGACCGACGCATAGATTGGAATAAAGAGAGGGAGAATACGAACTTAGTATAATTTTTTTTTTACGTGAAAAAGCATAAAACAGCAATATCCGTGAAATGCATACACATGATTTATTTGGCGAAATGCATTTTTGTCTTCTCTAACATTTTCTTGTTTCAATTTATTGTTTACAAATCAAAATAAAAGCAAATGATCAATAATAATTTATTCATAGCAAAATAGCTGATACATTTTACAGCTGTTTTTATTAAAATGATAAATTCAACTAAATTTACTAACCATTCCTGTGCCACTAGAACTATGCTACCTACAAACTAGCAGCACAATATTAAGAAAGATCAGCTACAGAGGAAAGGTGAGGTTTTCGGTGAAGAAATCTGACCAATTCCCGACCAGGCTAATCTAGGTGCAAGCGATCGAGTCTTGGAACGATAACTGGTTGCCGTGGAATTGCAGAAGTCGGTGGTACTCTTACTGAGGTCCATTTCGCAGTGTAAGTTTTAATTCATCTAGGATTTGGGGTGTAGGGAAATTGAAGTTGATGAGCCAAGCTGTGGGCAGATAAGAGGGAATTTTGAAACAGGGTTCTTTTAGCAATGTTAAGGGACTGAAAACTTACGTCCATATAATTTCTCCTGATCCTATGGCAGTTGAGATACCGTTTGTAGATTCTTTGATGACCCTCACCGTGTTGATCCACATGACTTACGAGGGAAGCTCATTGGGCATTTGTGGTGACATCAAATTGTACAGGACATTTGGTCCCGGTTATATGTGTTAGTTTTCCATTTTGGGAGATTCAATCAGCTCGGTGGTGGCTAAGTAGCTTGTTATTTGTGAAAATGAAATAACTTGAAACACGAATTCTTCCTAAAAATAAAGGTTATAATGTATTTTATCCAAACTGAGGTTTATGAAAACTATATCATTAAGTGTTGAACTTTCAGCTTTCTTTTTAATGTTATTTAAATTTCTAATCCAAAAACGAACTTGATCGACTATATGAGCCATTGCGATTGAATTGTAATTTTTATTATGAAATTTATATATCCTCCGTATACATTGTAAGAATATCACGGCGTTATTCTGACTTAGTATAATTTTGAAGAGAATTTTAATCGGATCAATGTACAAAATTTTGCATATCCCAAAAATGATTAGATTTAAATCTATCTTTGCTTACACAGCAAAAAAAATGTAATATCGATCAACGTAATTCAAGCTGATGTATGAAATAATGATGTAATAGCAAAAAGCAGATACAATATTACATCAATGGATGTAATTTTGTTTGCAAAATCGCTGTACATCGTCCAACGAAATATTGCATAACCGACGGAATGATCTCTGTGCAGCTGTTTGGATGTAACATTCAACAACTTTTTTTTCTGTGTAGTAATATTTTTGAGTGTGCAATTTCACGGTTTTAGTGTATTGGCGTTGACGGCACCGTCGAAAAATTTGCTCTTCCAGCAAATATAGACAGTTTCTTATGGGAATTTTCGGTGGAGTGAAAGGATAGTACAAAGTCCGCCATGTTTCACGCACAGTCTGACGTTTGCTTATGGATTTTACCATAGGAGTAAAGAGCTACAGAGTCGCCGTCAACGCCAATACGCCAGAGTTTGACCGATGAGGAATTTGAACTGACAGCTTGAAAACATCGAAATTCCATTACTTTTCGTTTGCTTTTGCCAAAGTTGAGAAAACCAAAAAAGCATCACAAAAGTAAACAAACGGTTAGACAGACGACGAGAGAAGTTTATCGAACCGCCAGCCAGAAGACACGTAGAAACAACGCGTAGGTCCCGAATATTTAATTCGATTTAAAATATCACCGATACTCGCGTGTGCATTGTCTATTTTTATCCCGCGGCGGTGGACTTGCGACTGCGTGCACTGTTTATTTTCTGTGTTTTAGCCAAACCGAGAATCGATGTGGCATTGCCCTCCGCCTCTGCGCCGTACTTAATTTATTGTTCGTCATTCGAAGCGAAGCAGAGTTTTCTACGGTCGGTTTTCGAACATCGGATTGTTACGTTTCAGTTTTTTGTTTACATCGTTTTGTTCCAAGAGGTAATTCCTGGGATCAACGCCGGAAGTAACCGGTAATGAGTGTTACTGGGAAATGAACGGTAATATTTCGTCGTCCGGACAGTCAGAATCGATACCATTGGAAGTGCAATCAGTAGAGGTTGAACCGGAAGTGCAAAGCCCGAACGAAGGTGCCACCTATTTCGAGTTCATCTATAGTCAATCGGTGCTATATTTACGCGAAACGCTGGATCATATCGTGTTGTTGATTCTCATTTATACCTTGCTATGCCTGGTTCTATACAAACTTCTCTTCCATCGATTCGGTCGATGGATGAAGGTGATTCGGAAAAGTCGCCTTCCTGCGAATTCGAAGCGAGCGCTACTGGTCACGGCCCATCCCGATGACGAATCAATGTTTTTCGGGCCCACCATATTGGAGCTTCGGCGCCAGGATTGTAGAGTCTTTCTGCTGTGTCTGTCGGAGGGGAACTTCAATCAGCAGGGAAATGTCCGCCGACAGGAGCTGTGGGATGCCTGTGAGTCGTTGGGTATCAAGCCGGAAGACATTACACTGCTCAATGCAACCCACCTTCAGGACGATCCGGCACTGGAGTGGAAAACGGTCACCATTGCCAATCAGATTCTCAAACACTTGGAAGCGCTGGACGCAAATCTGTTGATCACATTTGACAAGAACGGCATTAGCGGCCATCCTAATCACTGCGCCATCTATCATGCAACCGCGTCACTCTGCCTGGCAGGGCTGGTTCCCAGCAGTGAGTACATGATGATGTGCTGAGGGATCTTTTGGTTTGGTAATTCAATTATCCGCTTTGTTTTGCAGAATGTAAAGTTCTGACATTGGAATCGGTAAACCTATGTCGGAAGTACATTTCAATATTGGATTTGCCCATCACGTTGCTGCTGTCGACGAATTGGTAGGTTTTGCAGCAGGGTTACTTCCACTCACTTGCTATAAAAAAATGTTTTTCGGAATTATGAAATAATGAAATAGTATAATGCTAATTAGTGCTTGTAAGTTACAAGAAGAGGTCATGAAGTATATGTTTGACACATAAAATCTGTCAATATTGCTTTCAGTGCGTCACAATTAGCGATTTTACGACTCGTGAGCGCTCACTCTGAGTGAACGCTCACGAATCATAAGATCGCTGATTGTGACACTCTGAAAGCGGAATTGACAGGTTTTATCAGTCAAACACATACTTTACACCCTCTTCTTGTTACTTACAAGTACAACATATCATTATAACATCTAATGATTGCATAATTCCGAAAAATATTTTTTTATAGCTAGTGAGTGGAAGCAACCCTTTTTTGCAGTTAGTTTTCTCTGTTGTTCATGCTTAACATTAGGTATATCTCGTTTAGGTCCGTACTCAGTTGGCAATCTCGGCTGGCCGTGCAGAATGCCATGCGTCTCCACCGGTCACAGATGGTATGGTTCCGGAAGCTTTACATCAGGTTCTCTCGCTACATGGTCATCAATTCCCTACGGGAAATCAACCAATCGGACGTCGAGTTCGAAATTTTGGATTCCTAAATTGGGACACAATTTACAACCACCAAGAAACAACGACGGTTAGCAAACTAGATAAGCTTTATCCGGAGAATGTAGGTGAGAATGTTTCTTCAAAAAATTTCGATAAATATTTGGACCAAGTCACAACTCAGTCTCGTTGGAAGTGGAGAGGGTGGGCCACATTTTCTACCGAAAGCTAGCTTAATTGCTGAACAAGTGCAAAATTCGTACTGTCATCACTGCATAGTAGGAGCGTTATGAGGGCAGGGACGGCGACGACATGTTACAGATGCTTTAATGCTAGTCCTTTTTTGATAGTAACCACGGAAGGTGTAGAACACACAAAATGGCATGATACTTTTATCACACTTAACCTAGACGTGCTAGAAATATTTATTGCAAAACACATTTTAAGTACATTATAATTATTGCTTGGGATATAACTCGAAGCCGAGCAACAACAGTCACTTGAGGGAGGAGGCAATATTTTTCTATACCGAATGGAGGAGTATAGCAATCGATCACATAACTATTTTTGTACATAAGAAAACGAACGATACACCATATGTTTAAATTTGTCATTCTTTGAAATACACTTTCGACAAGAAACAGGAAGGGAGAGGTTTTCGTTATCCGAAAGTCCGGACTTGAAATGCCATGCAAGCTTTCAATAATTAACTTTTACACATTTATTTGCATTTGCGAAAATTTCTTCTGATGACATCGACGGTGGAGCTCAGCATTTGAAAACCAGTTGTGAGGCTACCGAGCATGAATTATATACCACAAAACATCGGTTGATGGAAACCTGCAACTTTTGAGTACTTCGTAAAATCGCTAGGGCCTTGATCGGGGTATTTTGATCTTTGTAGTTCGGTAACGGTTGTATGCAACTTAGGAAGGTTCCTTGCGCTAGGTTCGCTAGGCTTTGGATGGTTCTCCCAGCAGCTGGTGCAATTCGTGGTTCATTCGCCTCCTCCACGTTCCGTCATTCATCTGCAGTCCACCGTAGATGGTACGCAACACCTTCCGTTCGAAAACACCAAGGGCGCGTTGGTCCTCCACGAGCATAGTCCAGGTCTCGTGGCCGTAGAGGACCACCGGTCTAATCAGCGTCATGTAGACAGTCAACTTCGATCGGAGCGTCATCCGGAGTCCAAAGTAGGCACGATTCACTGCCATAATGCGTCTTTGAATTTCTCTGCTGGTATCATTTTCGGCGGTCACCAGTGAGCCCAAATACACGAACTCATCGATCACCTCGATTTCGTCACCGTCAATCTGAACTCTGGGTGGGAGGGTAACATTGTTTATTTATTTATTTGTTGTCAATCAGTGTAGACCGTTTTACAATAGTGCTGTTATCTTACATGCTATTTTAAAACATAAGTTTTATTTGAAATTGTCAATAAATGTAGACTGTATATACAAATATCTAAGAAATAGAAATTGTTTTAAACTCAACGAGATGCAGTTAGTGTTCTCCTTACTGTATCTTTAGACATCGTTAGATCTATACGCTCACAATAATTATTATACACTCGCATCATTCTATTGATTGGCCCATTTTTACCATAATTCGTTCTGTGAGGTGACAGTTGAAATACATTTTGAGTTCTTAACATGCGTGATGGTACGTTAAAATTTAAGCTGGCTAATATTTTTTTCTGAATTTACGCGTTGTGAAGTAATATCATTAACAAAGGAAATCATGGAAATTTCTCTTTGTTTCTTAAGTGTTTCAATGTTTATCAACATGCAATGGGACTAATAAGAAGGAAGGGGAAAAGAGGTCCAGCCTAGTTTCCTAAGAGCAAATAACAAAAACTGTTTTTGAACTGATTCTATACGGTTTATATAAGTTTTATGGTATGTAGCCTAAACCACACTGCAATATTCGAGAATTGATCTCACGTAAGCTATATAAAGTGTTTTGATGGTATATGGGTCTTTAAAATGATGACTAAATCCCAACATATTATTTGCTTTGTGAATTGTGGTATTCACATGATCTACAAATCTAGATAGAGCTGGAATTAGGGCCTAACAGCATTTGTAAACAATGACTTCTCTTGATGATTTCTAGAAATTCAAGGCTCGCTCACGCAAACCAACATCCTCATCAGGTAGGGAAATACTTCCCCTATCCGATGGTTAGGTTGGTCTGCGTGGGCGTGTCTTGAATTCCTAGAAATCATCGGTGGAAGTCATTGTTTACAAAAGCTGTTACGACCTAATTCCAGCTCTATCTAGAAATGTCAACTTCGAGTCAAGAATTTCTCCTTTGTCCCTAATTTTATCGCACCTTACAACCAGCTGGTTTCCTAGAGTACATGTAAAATCTAGAGTAGTGTGTTTTTTAAATAAGATATAATTTTGCATTTTTTTAACATTAATATCCAGCAGACTTTTAACGCACCAATTGTAGAAAACATCAATTTCATTTTTAAAATGTAGCAAATCAGAATTGTTAAAGATTTCCATGTAAAGTTTCATATCGTCAGCATATATGAGCACATTTAAGCGATTCAACACTAACTTCATGTCATTTACAAATAAAATAAATAATAAAGGACCTAAATGAGATCCCTGTGGAACTCTCGAGGTAACATTAACTGACGAGGACATTTTTTCTTTAAAAAGGACCATTGTATTCTTTCTGTCAAGTATGATCCAATCCATTTTAAAAGTGTACTTCCCTAATAAAATTTGTACGGTTATTTTGCTTAACGACGTATTCAGGGTATCATCCAAACCATTTGTGGAATAGTTCTATTATTTGGGTTATCTTTCGGGTATGGTATATTTTTATTAGGGTTGTCATACCTAAACATTTTAATTTAAAAAGAAGTAAGGGAATGTCTACCCTGGGCTTTGGCAAAACCTTGAGGTAGTTTAATTAGGCTACAAGGTCCCAGGGCTGATCTGGATCTTTACCACATTGGAAAGATGCACACTAGTGTGGCTAGATCAGTGTTGATGCTTACCAAAAGTGCATTTGAACCCGCTTATTAACATATTAATCATCATCGTACATTGTTTGTTGCTCTGTACTAATAAAAAATGATTAAGCACAGCATTTGATATTTTAGTAGAAATGCTGGATTCAGTCGTAGTGGAAATCATTTGTTTTTTTTTAATGGATTTATTTCTATAGGTATGCACGTTTGAAAAGTATCATCACAAAGATTTTTCACTTTGTCTACAGCTTTTGGGCGCTTCCCGTTGTGTTTGTTTTTTTTTTTTTTTTATGTATTTATAGAATCAATTCTTAGAAATACGAAGCGGAAGACAAATCAAGCATTAAGCACATGACCTTCAAGAAAACTAACAACACGAAGTCTGGAAATGGCAATGTTTCATTCAAAATGTCAAGTATTTCAAGAATATCGGGTGAGACCAATCGAACCGAGCGCTCTTTCGGTCATCTGGAAGGGTTGTGCACGAGGAACGATTTTTAACCCCCCCAGTTTTGAAGACATTCCGGAGCGAGGATCCATTATCTTGTGTCAGAGGGATGATGAAATTGGCATATCCAGAAACACAATACAACAAGAGAAGGAAGTAGTATTGAAGGTAAACAAGGAGTACATGGGAACGTCGAAAACTATAAGTATACTCCGATCTATTCTAGTACTCTTGTATAAAACCTATCGTAAACCGGCTAGATCGTGGTCGTCGTCACCGTCCCGCATAGTCATATGAAGATTGCCAGATCCGTGACCACTCATGATAAAGCACACAAGGCTCTCAACATTGAATACATTGCACGGGTTGGGTTGCACAGAGGGTTGATTATATGTAAAAGCTTTGAAACACCCGCATGAACGATAATCATAAGGTGTGCCTAACAACCTATTCGGGTTATCATCCCAACAATATGTGGTACAGTGGCACGATTTGTGGTATCGTTCATGTATGGTGTTCCCCCCACCCTTTATTAGGGTCGCTGACGCTCATTGCACGCTCTTTCGTTCTCTGGCTGATTGAATGGATGACGGAGTTTGACGTCACACTCCTTCAGACGTTTAGGCGGCGGGAGGGCGAGAGGGATGGCTGTTCAGTACACGGAGACAATTTTACAAATGAATTTCTAATAGGTAAATCACAGTTTAAAACTCACTAATAATCTCATTCAATCTCTTATCATTTCTTTTTCATTGACGGTGTGATGTTATCGATGCGCTATGTGACGAGAGCGCAAACCAAACGAGGCCATTTTTCAACGATACGATAATAACTTATGCGCTTTTCACACAAAACCTACCCAACCCTTTCCTTTCTACAATCCCTGAGCAGCTGGTTTACCATAAGTATACTCCGCAGAACTTTTTTAACCCCCATGGGTCTTTGTGTTGCTCACTCCTCTCCCCTTCCCTTGTGTATTATCGATGGTGTGAATATTCACATCGGTGACATGGCCCCGACCGCCTTGTACACCATAAAATGAAAATGAAATGAAATGAAAAAGAAGTAAGGGAATGTCTACTCTGTCAAAGGCCTTACTAAAGTCAGTGTATAAGGTTTCAACGGTGTTACCTCTATCCATTGCTTCAATAGAAAAGTTTGCAAATTCCAACAGATTAGTAGACGTTGACCGACCTTTAAAAAAAACCATGTTGATTATTTGAAATGCGATGCTTAACCTGGTTTAATATTTTCTGGTTAACAATTGATTTAAACATTTTTGGGGGAGGTAGCTCATCGATTCTTCCGGTTCGCCTCCTAGCATCGTGCTATAAGGTACCAGGCGATAACCAGGGTAGTTGGTCGATAGCTCGATGACGTCGTTTCGTTGGCGTCTGCAATGAGAAATTCTCATAGCAGGCGTTGACGATGGGACGTTGTCGAGTTGTTGAATAGCAACTATCGTGGTAACTCACCGATTACCTGTCGATCTGCCAAATTTGGAAAGACGTCTGCATTGAATTGTCTCATATAATAATATTCCGCCCACTATATCACAAGAAATTGCGAGTAGCTGAGTGGAATGGAGATATGTTAAGAATTGGGTACAGGACCAAGTCTCCCCTGGGTGGTGCCAGAAGATGAGTGCAATAGAATCATCAAGTTGTAGTAGTCAAAGTCTTCCATTCGTTAGTCATTTCAGGTGGATTAGAACAGGTTTAGGTTTAGGGTGGGCGTTGGCCAGATTTGGATTTTTCAGATATAATTCTAAATAGGACCTAGATTATTTAATACACTAGTAACCTCAACCTCTGTCACAATGTTTCATTGTGATTAATCAACACTCAAATTTGCGGTAAATTTGAAAAAAAGGGAACTTGGAGTGTAGACCGCACTGCCCGCTGGACGATTCTGAAGCCTGGCCAAGTGAGTGGGTTACGGATTTATTTGATTGTACGTCATTTCCAAGTTATATATAGATACATTCATACCATTG